GAAAGTAGCCACGCTCCTGCCACAAAAATACTCATTTGTATCAACCCTTAACAATTGTGTATACTCTGTTGCAAATTTGTAGTTAGAAACTTACAATAACAAAACGAATCTAAGCGTACTAGCATCTCCATCTTGATCAACATTTTGTTCATTAGCGTCTTCATCTTGATCAGTAGAGTCTCCATCTTGATCAGCATTTTGCTCGTTAGCGCCTAAATGAAGCAATGATACACCATTCCAGAAACTAAGCTCGCTCCTGCAACAAAATACTCAATTTGTATCAACCCTTACAATTATATGTACACTCTGCAAATTTGTAATTAGAAACTTACAATTTCAAAATGAATCTTCCTTCTCTAACATACCATCGTGGGACTTCAATCTGGAGATCAAATCAAAAAAAATTCAGTACTTGCTATTTTAAAAAAAAAAACAACAAAATCTTCTTGTTCATGAAAACCATCTTACAAATTTCCACCCGATCATCGTTCCACATTGGCCACAGTAAGTATTGGCTATGGTACTTCCAAAATGATAATTCACATCGTCTGATACAAGAACATTATACCTGCATATATACACATATATATAACTTAGACTGCAGAAATAAATCTCAAGTTGCACGAAATCAATCACGAGACTTGCACTCTACTAAAGATCCCTCCTGGATGAACCTGCAAAATGTACAAGAAAATGACCATAATAACAACGTAGTGTTTAATTAATCACAATTCATGAAACAAATTGCAAGAAATCATTATAATTGAATGCTTACGTACCATCCAAATATAATCTTGGACGCGTGATACTGGATTTCTGCACGTACGACAGTAGATTCTTTCATTAGAAGGGATTTCTGCACATTATCGTCATTGTATCAACTTTATTGAATCAAGAAGAAGCAACTCAGAGAGGACTTATAAGAAAGTAGAAGAATGAATTTAATGGAAATGATGAGAAGACAAAATGTTTATATAGAAAACTCACTTCTTGATTCTTGATTTTACCGTTAAACTTTCTGTTTACCCTCCAAAACTCTTTTCTTTTTAATATCTGATACCAGTCATATTCACATTTTATGTTGCAACTGATTTAAAATTATATAAAGAAATTTTTTTACCCTGTATCATTTTCTTGAGTCGAGGGTCTCGGAAATAGTCTCTTTACTTCCACGAGGTAATGATAAGATCTGCATACATACTATACTATTCAGACCCCACTTGATGTAATGGAATTTCAGAGTATCTTGTTGTTTCATTTTTTTAAAATTTACTTACAAGAAGTACACTTTATATCTTAATGTATTCCCTAATTATTACGTACCATAAGCTTAATGCTCGTCTCCAGCAGGTCATGCAAGCATACAGGGGTCTCACTCGCATCTATAAACCTGTTCTATGAAACATCGAGATTAGTCTCGTGAAGTTGAAACAAGATAGATAGCACGGTGAGAGTCCAGTGAAGGTGTAAGATTTTAAGTGGTTCGGTGAAGTTGAGGCAACAATTACATAATGAAGGCACAAAATATATATGAGTTCTGCTAACTTAATTACTACATGAAGGTGCTACAGCCTCATTATTACGTTATAACAATATTTCACTGTAATGGTTGGATTTTATGGAGAACCAAAATTTTCAGGTTATATTACTTCTTTATAACAATATTCTACCGACTACCTACAACAAAAATAACATACATAACACTGGTTCCGATTGACCACCATCAATATGAGCACTCCTATGCCCACCACATTGGTCGGTCTGAGGACCACCTCTACCTGTCTGAGCACCTCCTCTGTTGTTCAAAGCTGAATGGACGAGTCTACTAGACTGACGTAAATAAACTTTACCTGAACTATATGGGGGGGCTTCTTGCCCTTTACTCCTCAAAGTTTTGGCGTGTGATCCACTCCACATCCTTGGAAGCATCTTACCACATTTCACAATTAATCACTTGAGATGTGGCTAGACTAATAGGATAGATGAGTCCCTTGACAAGCCTCTTCACTCTCTCCCAGAAGTATCATCAATGCATGATGTGATAAGGCATGAAACTTCATCCCATATTCCTTCACGAACATACTATCTTGAGTCTATCTACACGTTGAAGGCTCAATAAATCTTGAGTTTGAAACATAGGAATTAAAATGTAACATCACCACATACTGAAACATTATCTTTCCCCACAATAGTCTAAGAAAACAAACTAAAAGTTCACCAGCATTGACTCTACAGATAAGCTGTATAGCTGGTGCAGTTAAGGAAATTAAAAACAAGCTAAGCAGCACATAGAGAACGGAGCTCAAACATGTAAAACGTTCAGTGTCAATTGGTTTATTCCAACTTGAAGTAGTAATATGTACTGCAATTTTACAACAGAAATGGAAACAGACAATTATGAACTATAGCATTTTGTATAAGCAGCGAATATCAGCATGAGTAGGCTATCAATGTCTGCATTTTCATCATTCGTTGCTCTACATCTTCATTCAGTTCATTGGAGTGCCGTCATCTTGATCATCATTCTGTTCATTACCGCCCCCATCTGGATCAGAATTTTCCTTGTTCACGCCCACATTTTGTTCATTAGTGTCTCTATCTTGATCAGCATTTTGTTCAATAGCATCTCCATCTTGATCAGTAGTGTCTCCATCTTGATCAGTAGCATCTCCATCTTGATCAGTAGCGTCTCCATCTTGATCTGCATTTTCTTCAGTAGCGCCTCCATCTTGATCAGCATTTTCCTCATTAGCACCTAAATCTTGATCACCATTTTGCTCATTAGCGCCTAAATCTTGATGAGCATTTTGGTCATTAGCGCCTAAATCTTGTTCTTCATTTAAATGAAGCAATGGTACACCATTCCAGAAACAAAACTCTCTCCTGCCACAAAATACTCATTTGTATCAAACGTTACAAGTTATACAGCTTATGTGTACACTCTGTTGCAAATTTGTAATTAGAAACTTACAAGAACAAAACGGATCTTCCTTCTCTACCGAACACATACCACAGTGGGACTACAATCTGCAGATCAAATAAAAAAATTCAGTACTATTTAAAAACAACAAACAACAACAAAATCTTCTTGTTCATGAAAACCATCTTACAAATTTCCACCTGAGCAACGTTCCACATCGGCTACAGTAAGTCTTGGCTATGGTACTTCCTAAACGATAATTCTCATCGTTCGATACAAGAACATTATACCTGCATATATACACATATATAACTTAAGACTGCAGAAATAAATCTCAAGTTGCATGAAATCAATCATGAGACTTACACTCTACTAAAGATCCCTGCTCGACGAACCTGCAAGGTGTACAAGAAAATAAGTTGGTTTTGTTGTTAGTCAAGAAATATAACTTAATTCATGAAACAAATTGGAAGAAATCGTTATATTCGAATCCTTACCCTCCAAATATAATCTTGGACGTGTGCAACTGGATTTCTGCATGCACGACAGTAGATGCTATCATTAGAATTTCTTCTTGATTTCTTGAATATTATCATTGTATCAACTCAGAGAGGAGATTATATCAAATGGAAAGAAAAATGGATGGGAATTATAAGAATGAATATAATGGAAATGATGAGAAGACAAAATGTTTATATAGAAAACTCACTTCTTGATTCTTGATTTTACCGTTAACTCTCTGTTTACCCTCCAAAACTGTTTTCTTTTTAATTTCTCATACTAGTCATATTCACATTTTATGTTCCAACCGATTTAAAATTATATAGAGAAAAAATATACCCTATTTCATTTTCTTGAGTCGAGGGTCTCTCGGAAATAGTCTCTGTACTTCCACGTGGTAGTGATAAGGTCTGCATACATACTATCCTACTCAAACCCCACTTGAGCTAGTGGAATTTCACCGAGTATGTTGTTGTTTCATTTTCTTTTTATTTACTTACAAGAAATACACTTTATATCTTAATCTCTTCCCTAATTATTAGATACCATAAATAACGTTTCCAGCACGCCTCCATTTTACCCTCCCTAAATGCCTCCATTGAAACTTGTAGGCAAATTTTGGCTTAGGAAAAGCAGCTGAGATAGGCCCTTTCTCTCAGCATCTATAAACCTATTCTATGGAACATCGAGATTAGCCTTGTGAAGTTGAAACAAGATAGATAGCACGGTGAGAGTCCAGCGTGAAGTTGAGGCAACAATTACATGGTGAATCACTGAATGGGCACTGAAGGCACAAAATATATAGGAGTTCTGCTAACTTACTATATGAAGGTGCTACCAAGCCTCATTATTAGAACCATTCGTTATAACAATATTTCACTGTAAGTTGTAACCGCTAGATTTTATGGAGAACCAAAATTTTCAGGTTATATTATTTCTTTATAACAACATTCTACCGACTACCTACAACAACAATAACATACATAACACTGGTTCCGATTGACCACCATCAATATGAGCACTCCTATGCCCACCACATTGGTCGGTCTGAGGACCACCTCTACCTGTCTGAGCACCTCCTCTGATGTTCAAAGCTGAATGGACGAGTCTACTAGACTGACGTAAATAAACTCTACCTGAACTATACGGGGCTTCTTGCCCTTTACTCCTCAAAGTTTTGGCGTGTGATCAACTCCACATCCTTGGAAGCATCTTACCACATTTCACAATTAATCACTTGAGATGTGGCTAGACTAATGGGATAGACGATTCCCTTGACAAGCCTCTTCACTCTCTCCCGGAAGTATCATCAATGCATGACGTGATAAGGCATGAAACTTCATCCCATATTCCATCACGAACATCCTATCTTGAGTCTATCTACACGTTGAAGGCTCAACAAATCTTGAGTTTGAAACATAGGAATTAAAATGTAACTTCCCCACATACTGAAACATCATCTTTCCCCACAATAGTCTAAGAAAACATACAAAAAGTTCACTAGCATCGACTGTATAGCTGTTGCAGTTAAGGAAATTAAAAACAAACTAAGCAGCATATAGAGAACTGAGCTCAAACGTGTAAAAAGTTGAGTGTCAATTGGTTTAATCCAACCCAATCTCAAAACAGAAATGGAAACAGAATATCACATGACAATTACGAATTATAGCACTTTGTGTAAGCAGTATGTCAGCATGAGTAGGCTATCAATGTCTGCATTCTCATCATTAGCTGCTTTACATCGATCTTCATTCAGTTCATTGAATCCCCGCCATCTTGATCATCATTCTGTTCATTTCCGCCTCCATCTTGAACTGCAGCATTAGCGCCCACATCTTGTTCATTAGCGTCTCCATCTTGACCAGCATTTTGTTCATTTCCGCCTCCATCTTGATTATCATTCTGTTCATTTCCGCCTCCATCAGCATTAGCCTCATTAGCACCTAAATCTTGATTTGCATTTTGCTCATTAGCGCCTAAGCCTTGTTCTTCATTTAAATGAAGCAATGGTACACCATCCCATAAAGTAACCTCTCTCCTGCCACAAAATACGATCATTTGTATCAACATTACAATTATATGTACACTCTGTTGCAAATTTGTAATTAGAAACTTACGATATCAACATGAATCTTCCTTCTCTAACATCTACGGACCCTAGTGGGACTGCAATCTGGAGATCATCGAAATAAAACAAATTCAGTACTTACTATTTACAAAACAACAAAATCTTCTTGTTCATGTAAACCATCTTACAAATTTCCACCCGATCAACGTTCCACATTGGCCACAGTAAGTATCAGCTGTGGTAAATCCAAACTCATGTTCCACATCGTCTGGTACGTGAACATTATACCTGCATATACACATATATATAACTTAAGACTGCAAAAATCAATAAATCTCAAGTTGCACAAAATCAATCAATCATGAGACTTACACTCTTCTAATTATGATCACTCCTTGACGAACCTGCAAAGTTTACAAGATCATAAGTTACGTTGCAAGAAATATAACTTAATTCATTCATGAAATCATTATATTCGAATCCTTACCCTCCGAATATAATCTTGGATGCGTGCAACTGGATTTCTACACGTACGACAGTAGATTCTTTCATTAAGATTTCTTTTTGATTTCTTGAATATCATCATTGTATCAAATGAAAAGAAAAAAATGGATGGGAATTATGAGAGATCAGTAGAAGAATGAATTTAATGGAAATGATGACAACACAAATTAAAATGTATCTTTATATAGAAAACTAACTTCTTGATTTCTTGATTTTACCGTTAAAACTCTCTATTTACCCTCCAAAACGTACTTCTTTTTAATTTCTCATACGCTTATTACATTTCCCTAAACGAGTTCACACCTGGGATCCAACTTCCGACCTCGACTCCTGACTTTGACTCGAGACTCAAATTTTGACCTCAATTTAAGACCACGATTTTCCAAAAATATATTGGATAAAAGGTTAGTTCGAGTATTAATATGAAATATCGGGTAGGCTGTGTATTAGTTGGTTCGGTTAAGTTTTAAAATTTATCAATTTGACTTATCGATTATCATTTTGTAAACATGATAAACCGTTATAGAAAGTTTGGATATTGACTTATCGGTTATTAATGGTTATCGGTTTAACCGTTAAGATTTGACACATAAAAAATCATTGAAAATCACTTAAAACAAGGTGACAAACTAAATGAATATGAGTTGACAAATTGCATCTTGCTTTAAAACAAATAGTATCACATCGTAGAATAACAACATGAAATAACACTAAGAAAGTAAACTCAAAGTTAAGGAGTAAGGACTTTATATACCAAATGATATAAATACAATTATTTAATTTACTATGGGTTATTGGTTCACCCGTTAAGAAAAAGCTTCAAACCATTAAGAATTGATAACTCGATAATAATAAATATATCAAAGATACACTTTATATCTTAATAATGATATTGTCGTGTGTAGGGGTGATCATTTGGTTAGTTTAAAAAGTTCCATTCGATTTATCAGTGTTCGTTTTAGTAAAAATAAAAATCGAATTTAAATTGAAATTAGTTCGATTTGGTTAGATTTATTTCGATTTGATTTTTCTGTTTGCACTTACCATAGAAAATTATCAGATTGACTGCTTACAAATCAACATTCTGCCAGAATATGTTAATATACTGATATTATTAATAATTTTTACACTATAAATGTTTTTTTTTTAAACACTATAAATGTAATTATACATTAAGGCCAGAAAGTATATATTGGAGCGAATCAATTTTTTTGTTAGGTTACCAACATGGATTGTGGTGTATTAGTGGGAGTGCTTCACCCTTAATCAGATCGAGCCCTGGGTATGGTGACAATCCTATTGGGAGAGCCACCCCAAATGGGCAGTGTGCGATCCGAATTTAGTCGGAGTGGAAAAAAAAATCTTTGTTGAGAATAATCATGTTCTCTCAATACATGAATTTTAGCAACAAATACATCACTAATTTTTGAATTAACAAACCTTATTAAAACAATCCTCCAAACAAGCCTCTCTTTTTTTGTCATTTACATTAAATTTAGAACACTTAATAGAAAAACAACCAATCTTACAATAGTGAATTTGACTTTGCACATTCACAGAAACAACACAATTATTTACACAATCATTGTAACATTTTTTATCATTGCCACATTGTAATTTGCAAGCATGAAGGCATCGTTGTACATCAGTCATCCCTTGTGCTACAAAAATCATCATCAACATAATTGCAATTCCAAGTTCTAACTTCATTTTTGCTTCTTCTTTTTTTCTCACTAAGAAAAACTGATTTGATGATAATGTTTAGAATATGTTTAAGTTTAAATAGAATGATACAAGTGGATTATGGAAAAAAAAAATCTAATTATAAATCACATTTATCATTTTACCTAAAATGGCTAGAATATAATCAAAGGTCCTTAATTGGAATTGTGATCATATATCTATATCACACTAAATTAGGATAGTATATATCTTTTTAGAATCTTCAAGGGTATCAATTTAGACAATGATGAAACAATTAATTTGGTAATTGGTACTCCCTCTATCGTTATTTACTTGTCAAATATTTTCTAATTTGATTTCCCTTTTTACTTGTCTTTTTTAACAAATCAAGGAAGGACATTTATTTTCTTCCTATTATACTCTTATTTATTAACATTCAGTTAATTTTAATATAATTTGATTTGATTGTATCTTTTTAAGGGTAAATAGTTTGTGTCAATGCTTTAATGGTGGAATGAATGAATATGTAGGATATATCTAGTATGTGTTTGATGTATCATATTTATACAGACAATGATATAGACATGACGTATGGGTACATACAAAGGCAAACATGTGTGTATATGCATATCACTGTATATTATGTATATGACTTGTGTATGTCAATGTATATCATTGTATATAAAGTGTATATGTTGGCATATACATGACATACAATGATGTACAAGCTACAGAGAGAGAAATTGTGAAAGCCATGAAAAGAGAACTTCACCAAGGAAGAGAAGTTCAATAAGAAAAAAAAAACTATGAACAAAGTTGGCAGAAGCACATAACATAAATAGGCTTATGTCTAAACTCATATCATGTGGACAACTTATAAGGAATTGGTTGTGTAAAAATGAATAATTTCTTAGATATATGAAATTCACAAAATGTGGAAAAGAACAAGAACAGTTGATTATAATAAAAGTTTTTAGTAGGTAAGAGGTAGTGAGGTAAGTGCCCAAGTTGCGCAAACAATTATAACCGAGCCTCGTATGTTTGCAAACATTATAATTTGAATGATTTAGATGTAAGATCATTAAATGAATTTGTTGTCAACCACTACTGTCAATCGTTACCACACCTACCACCTCCATCATTATAATTTATATACACTATTAGAAAATGAGAAATTAGCGACGAACAAAATTTTGTAGCTAAACAATAAAAATTAATGATAATCTCATTTACCTGTGGATTATAAGAAAATTTAATTAGCTATAGGAGCATTTTAGCGATGGATTATCTAGGAATTGCCGACAAATTTCGTAGCTCATTTTATATTTTCTTGCAGTGATCCATTGTCATCACCATCATTGTCACCGCCTCTACCACCACTGCACTAACACCTTGCGGCCAATTTTTACTTCCAACCAACTTCACCATCGCACCACTATCAATAAACTACCACCAAGGCATTGTCAATCACCCCCACATTCTTCAGCCATCACCATCAACATCGCCAACTACTAATAACTATCACCACCATTACCAGCCGCCACCATCATGACAATTAATACAACATCAACCACCTCCATAGTCATAACTATCATTACCACCATTTCTAGTCACTAATATCTACCATTACCACCACTACAAATCATCTCCACTATCACTAGCGAACATAAATATTTCATTTCTTTATTCAAAATAATGATTTTATTTTATTGAATTAATTTTTTACTTAATATTTGATTAATTTCTTATTTAAATTTGTATGCCAATTATGTTTACAAATAAATGAATTAGGTACGTTTAAATGTAGACAAAGAAATAATTTTAATTATTCAGTGTTCATATATAGAGATAATATCTCAATCACTCAAATGTACATTGAGATTCAAACATCTTAATCTTAATGAAAAAAATGAGGCCTAAATATCTCAGAAATGTTAAGAATTTTCAATATCAATATTATTTTACTAATTTGTTATGAAATTCATCGTTGACTAACTTATAGTTAATAATAATTTTCCAATTAAATTCATTGTTAAATAAGATTTTTAGTTTTTAACAATAGAAATTGCCCGTAGAATTTGGGTGGATGAACTTGTTACGAGTGTAATTTGAATAGAATAGGTGAATCTAAGGAGGAATTTGGCAAATCCAACAAGTAGTTGTTTCCTTAGCTTTCTTAGCGGATAAAATTATAATCTTTTTAATTAGAATGTTCAAATACAAAATTCTAAATATGAGATCTTTTTAAGTAAAAAACATATCTCTGAATCATAATCATAATTATCATAATTATGATCATAAGTGGGAAAAACTTAAGTCAAAAGTTGAATTACCATTTTACTCTTTATATATATATAAAGCAATTATTTGTTCTACATTAATAATATTGCAGTAAAAATACTCATAATTATGAAAAGAATCAAATTATTAAATATTTTCAGCCAAAAATTAAAAAAATCCATCAATTTCCAACTGAATGGTTTGACCTTTGATATTCATCTACATAATAATATTGCATAAAAATATTCATAATTATGATTTAAGTCAATAGACTCTTTCTTTTCTCGAGGCACAATACTTTTTCAATTGCTTCTTCTTCTCTTGTTTGTGAGCAAACTGATGAAGATCAAAGGTCAAAAATTAAGTTGGAAATTGATGGGTCTTTTTAATTTTTGGCTAAAATATCTTTAATAATTTGATTCTTTTCATCTTCCCTTACCTAAGGTCCCTTATTTAAGTCACCCAAAGAGCAATTGAATTTGCAAATCTCATTGAATATTTTTACTCGAATATGATGGTGAAGCCATACAAGGCTTCACTGGTTGGTTCACAAGATTTTCCAATAGATTACTACAGCTTCATAGCCGTCATCTTCGACGTCTTTGGTGCCATGTTATCAGATACAAGATTTGTTCGTGGGTTGATATTATATTCAGTGTGCAATCCATTGCTAACATAAGGTATATGGAAAATGATCTTAAGCAGATCTCAATGGCTATGATGTTTGGTATCACGGGTCTCATGACAAACTACTTGGGTGTTAGTCCCCGGGCAATCAAGACAACTTGATGGAATTGTTTTAGGCACAAAACTCATTTATAAGAACATGTGGATGTCGTCCCGAAATATTTGTATTCTTTTGATGATTCTTAGCTAAATGAAGTTGTAGTATAGGTTTTTGCTTTTATAGTTTGAGCTCTTTTTACAGGGCTATTATGTCCCAAGTTCTAATGGCTCTAATCTTAACAAACACTATCAAAATTATTACTGTGGTGATATAACATTTTGTTAGTGAATTCAGGTTTATATATCTTAACTAATGTCTTGTAATGTTGGAAGCAGCTAATGATTGGCTCCTCTTCAATATTCTACTTTCATTTCTACATTTCTCTGTTAGATTTCATGCAGAGGTTAAAGAATGAAGAA